TTAAAAATAAAACAAAAACAACAACAGAAAAAGGGCTGGGGATGTAGCTCAGTGCAAAGGCCCTGCATTCAAAAAAAAAGTTTATAGGGGCCGGGGATTTAGCTCAGTGGTTTTGGTGCCTGCTGCACAAGTGCAAGGATCTGAGTTCAATCCCCGGTACAAAAAAAAAAAAGTTTATAGTCTTGGGTTAGCTAAATCAATATACATTAATTGCATACCTCTGCTTACACCAGTACTATACGAGGGGCTTTTTATCAGTCATCTTGTTTAGTCTTCACAACAGCCTAATAAGGCTGGAATTACTATTGTTAGTGAAAATAACCAAGAAGGTCAAGTTCTTTGCCCAAGGTCCCACAGCTGGGCAAAGGGGAGCTGGGGCCGAGCTTGGGCCGCAGCCCCTCGGGGAGGAAAATGACCACCACAGCAGGTTCGGGGGAGCCAGCTGGGGATCAGAAGGAGCCCGGCCTCAGGCTGCCAACTCATTTGTGGAAACCAGGCTGGCTGACTCCAGCCACACACTGCAGCCCGCTGAGTGATGCTCTGGGGGACCCAGTCCTGGGGGTTTCTGGGCCGGGCAGTCCCGAGGCCCGGGGGCTGCTGTACTCCCCTCGGTAGTAGTGACAGGGCAGTTGGCTCCAGGGATGGCCAGGAGCCAGGAGACCCGGTCACCTGTGTAACGTGGGGCTGTAGGGGCAGTGGCCCGGGGTCCTTCCCACCCCAGTTTTGATTCTGAGACTCCCAGCTTAGGCGTGACTGTCCCTGGGCAGAGGACAGAGGTCGGGCGAGTGTGTGAGTACGTGTTGGGCCCAGGGAGCCGTCCAGGTCTGGGCACCGCGCTTTGCTTTTCACAAGGGCCTCCCACCTGTCTCTCATCTTTCTCCAGGACCGCGCTGACAGGTACATCTTCCCACCCACTTTGCAGATGAGGAAACTGTGGCTCAGAAAGAGGAAGTGACTCGCCCAAGTTCACACAGCTCCAGCCCTGGGCTCGGGGCTCCAAATGACTCTACTCTGCACCCCGTGGAGATGCCACCCCTTCCTTGTGTGGGGATGATGAGGGTTGCTTCCAAGGGGACTGTCAGCCCCCAGGGCTTCTGATGGGGTGTGGGGTGTCTCAGGGTGCAGACGGTCACCTGTTCAGGTACCAGCTCTCCCACAGCTTCTGCAGTGCCGTGGCAGGACTGGATACGTCCACGCCCTCTGGACCTCTCTGCAAGGCAGGTGAGTTGCTCAGGTACAAATCACTGTCCCCAGAGTGGGGGGGGTCCAAGCTCTGACTTGAGCTGGGCACACTGGCACATGCCTGTAATCCCAGCCCTGGGGAGGCTGAGGCAGGAGGATCCCTGTGAGTTCGAGGCCAGCCTGGCCTACACAGTGAGTTCAAGGCCAGCGTGAACTACATAGTGAGACCCTGTCTCAAAAAACACAAAACAATACACCAAACAAACAAAACAAGCACCAAACAAACAAACAAAACAAGCTCTGACTGTTTCGGTGGAGCAACATTCTGGTTTCCTTTTGGAGCTGTCTGGCCCCGGGTGGGGCAGGGCCCGGCATGGAAAGTGCAGCCTGCCTTGGGGTCACTGATGGCTCTTCTGACAGCTTCGGTTTTTTCACCTCAGTTTTGCTGTTTTAGTTTGTGTTCACTGCTCTGTTATTACTGACATCTTCAAGGGCTTCCCCTCCTGGCCAAGCTCTTTTGTTTGAATCATTTGAGGACTTCTGTCCTTGCCTTCTTTTCTCCCCCAGCCATGGCTTTGGAAGAAGCTGGGGTCCGAGGAGCTTGGCAGGCTGGTGGAAAAGCAGCTTTTTGGGATGGACCATAGCTCAGGGCTTCCATCCCAGCACCCAACCCAACCCAACCGAAAAGCCCCTGCATCCCTGACAACCTGTCCCCCTAGATGGCCTGCAGGGCTCCTGGGTGGACTGCCTCTAAGGACAGCATCATCTGAGGGAGATTGTAGCCTTCCTTGTGGCACTGTGGCAGGGACCCAGGAAGCCCTGAGCTACTTCCTCACGACTCAACCCAGGGCCTTCACACTGAGCTACATTCCCAGACATTTTTACGTGGACACAGAGTCTCACAAAGTTGCCCGGGCTGGCCTCAAACTTGCAGTCCTCCCGCCTTACCCTCTGGAGTAGCTGGGAGTACAGGTGTGACAAAACCTTTTAAAACTGAGGATTTTTTCCTGTCCTAAATGAGTGCTTCGGTGCCTCCCACCCTGCACATAGTCTGCTCTGAGTGGTGACCATCCATTCTCCTCCCTCCAACCTCCCTCCCCACCCAGGGCTGACCCAGCACCTAGAGATGTGAGGAGGGATAGGAAAGGCTTCTGTGGGGCCCCCTACCGATACTGATTCATTGTGGGACTGGTGCTGTGGCCAGAAACTCCCCTTCTGAACTCCAGCTTGGGTGGGGATTTCCTCGGTGGCGGCACACAGGCCACAGGGACTGCTGCTGAGGTGGATTTGGGTCTCTGCACCCAGGACCCGGGGCTGGGGCTGGGTTAGGTTTCTGGGGAGTCGGAACCGAGGAGCTGAGGAACCTGCAGGCCCTCAGAGGTCAGCCGGGACCTCCATGCCTCCTGCTCAGCCGTGTTCCCGGTCGGAGTCCTGAGCCTCCCACACGGAAAGGCAGGGAGGCTCTGCCTGACCCCACCGCCTCCTCCACCCTCCGGTTTGATTTGCATTTGAGAACGGGACTCAGACCCCGCTGGCTGCCGGGACTCCTGCCGGAGACAGGCTCAGGGCATCTGCAGTTCTCAGTGTGGGAAACGCTGCCTGGGTCCTTCCCCTGCACCCACAGAAAGTGCCCAAGGTGCCCCGGGCACCAGCTCGCCCGCTTGTGCAGGGAGGGCTGGGCCGGAAGTTAGAGGCGAACACTGCAGGTACAGGGTGTGGGGTCACTGCGTCCTGCAGGGCAGAGCCGAGCCTGGCGCTGGGCCTCGGAGGCCAGACCGGTGTGTGTGCGTGTGCGTGTGCGTGCGTGCGTGCGTGCGTGCGTGCGTGTGTGTGTGTGTGTGTATGTAAGTGGGGTGCTGAGAGCAGCTCCCATTCCACCCCTGCTCGGGCTGAGCTCTGAGAGGCTTGGGGGCAACACCGGGACCTCCAGTCCTGCACTGGGAGGGGAGGTGCGGAGACTGTGGCCCGGAGCCCCTGAGTGAGGGGCCTCCGTGTAAGCTCAGGAAACAAGCAGCAGTGTACAGCAAACACATCCGCGAGCCCACTGCATGTGTCGACCATGAGTCGCTTTTGCAGCGAAAAACCTTTAATTTTATTATAAAATAAGCGCAGGTGGAAAAAAAACCACTTTGGCATGTGAGGTAGGGCGGGGCCGGGAGCCAGGGCCCCCTCCCGCCACGGCCTCTACTGATTGCACTGAGCGCAGCCCAGCGGGGCCTGCACAGGTGCCCCCTGGTGGTGGGTTTCGGGATCGACAGAGACTGAGCCGAGGGTTCTGGCCACCGGCGGCCGGGCCGGGTTGCACAGTGGGCTGTGACAGCATGCTCACTTGGGCTGTGGAGCGGGGACGTGTTGGTTTCCCGGACCCCCAGGCCGGGACTTTTGCAACGAGATCCTGACCCCGGGGCTAACAAGGTTGACACTGTGCCGGCGCCCTGGCTGTTTCACTCAGCCGTTTCCAAGTTTCCCGCCTTAGCCCCACTTCCGTGAGGTGACAGGTGTGACGCTCGCTCGGCTGCTGAGGCCCCAGGAAGAGCTGGTGCAGTGCCCGAGGGTGACATGTGCCCAGCAGTCCTGGCTCTGCCCAGCTCGGAGGCGCAGGCTGGTGGAATAACAAGGACAACAGTGACTACCTTCGTGCATTTACTGAAAACCCCCGTGACACCCAGCGAAGCGTCAGAGTAGCTCATGGAGAGGGACTCTTTTTTTTCAATAGAAAAATTTCCAAAAGGGCGTGGCAGTGCACTCCTGCCATTTCAGCACTTTGAGGAGGATTGCAAGTCTAAACCCAGGCTGGGAAACAGCGACTTAAGGAGACCCTGTCTCAAAAAAGCGGGGGTGACTGGGCATGGTGGTACATACCTGTGATCCCAGCACTCGGGAGGCTGAGGCAGGAGGATTGCCATAAATTCTAGGCCAGCCGGGACTACATAATGAGCTCAACACCCGCCTGAACTACTAGCCAGACCTCGTCTAAAAAAAAAAAAAAGGCAGGAGGGGGAGGTGCTGGGGATTTAGCTCATTGTAAAAGCCCCGGGTTCAACCCCCAGTATTGAATTAAAAATGAAAAAGGAAATATTACTCATCAGGGCATTTTACTTTTACGTGCTCTGGTACATACTACTAAAAATATAATCTTTTGGGGTACTGGGGATTGGATGTAGGGCCTCGTGCATGCTAGGCAAGTGCTTTACTGCAGAGCTACACCCCAATCCTGTCATTTTGAGACAGGGTCTCACTGAGTTGCCCAGGCTGGTCTCGAACTTGCGATCCTCCTGCTTCAGTCTCCCATGTAGTGGGGATTTCAGGTGTGTGCTACCATACCTGGCCTAAATATTTTCTTATATAAGCATGAAGCCATTATTATATTCCTCAAAATTAACAGTTCCCAGCCAGCACCCAGTGAGGCATTGACCTCATCTAACAGATGAGCAAGCTAAGTGAGTGGGCCCAACTTCGCACCACTTGTAAGTGCTCACGGTGGGATTCAAACCCAGGGCATGTGATTCTGGAAGCCACCCTCTATTCCTTTTTCTCTGACAGAGCCTCGCCGTGGAGTCCAAGCTGGCCTTGAACTCACAGCATGTGCTGGGATTACAGCTGTGCACTGTAACATCTGGCTGGAAACCCACCTTCTAAATTGCTCTCCCTGGGCCTCAGTTTCCCTCTTTGTAAAGCAGGGTTATATAACGAATATTTTGCTGCTTCACAGGATAATGGGTGATTGGACCATGTTATTCTTACTTCTAGCAACAGTGAAAATAATTCTGAAGCAAAGCAAGCAGAAGACAGAGTTAATAGCAGGTAAGTAGAATTGAAATGGCAATGAAAGGAAATTAAGGTTGGCTGAGTCCTCCCCTGTATGTTAGATTTCCCTTTGTGCCACTTGATCTTTGCCTCCCTCCCCTGCTGTGTTCTTAATTACCAGCTTCGTTCCACAGGTGAGGCCCTAGGTCAGGCCCAGGGAGCTGGCAGAGCCGCTAGAAGCCAGGCTTATCTCCTGGAGGTGGCAGGAAACCTAGGGTGTGTCAGCGCTGAAGTGGCCTTTGCCACGGGCTCTAGGGCACCCTGCCATAGTGGGGGATGTACCTGTCTGCTAGAATTCCTGCTGGCAGGCAACAGAAATGGGCTCCGGTGTCTGCGGGCAGAATAGGAGTTTCTGGAAAGCCCATTGGGCAGCAGCCGGAACGGACTAGACAGAGAAAGCCAGGCTAAGACAGACACAGGGCAGGGTGGCCCTGGCCTTCCTGGGCTGAACCCCCTCCACTACCTCTCTGCTTAGGGCTGCTTTTGAAGCCCAAGACCTGCACAGTCCCTGTCCCCATTGCAGGTGGGAGGCAGGTGCTTTCTTGGAAAGTTTCAGAGTGCTGGGCTGTGGCGAGGGCTTTTTATTTTTTTTTTTTGGTACTGGGGATCGAACTCCGGTCCTTGTGCTTGCACAGCAGGCGTCGAAACCACTGAGCTAAATCCCCGGCCCCATGGCCAGGACTTTTTAAAGGACACACAGAGAGGGAGCTGAGGGGACCCCCCCAGGAGAAGCAGCGGCTCTGGTTTTCACACTGCAGTTTTGCTCCCGGCCCTTGGTGTGAGTCACATGTGAAAGTATCTTGTTTTGCTAGGCCTGTGTCTGCTGCTGCCACCACCGTCACAGAAGCTGTCACTTCTAGGCAGGAGGCCCTAGGCTGGTCCCAGACTGCAGGGAAGCCAGATCTAGATGAGGGGCCGACCCTGTCTGTCTGCCACCAGATGCTGCTGCCGTGGGAGCAAAGCAAGCCTGGCTGGTGGGATTTTCCTCCTTTGCAACAGATGCAAATGTGATGCAAATGATATGCAGAGAATGGGGGGACTGAACAGCTGGAAAGCTCTGTGCTGTTCCTTGAAACTGACCACCTCTTCTTGTCCTGACTGTTGCTGGGGTTTGCGCCCCTGGACAGTTGGTACCTTCTGCAGGCCCCCAACGTTAATGCTAGATGAACAAATGAAAAGCAAATTAGCAAAACAGAGTGCAGTGGAGCACACCTGTGATCCTGGCATTCCAGAGGCTGAGACAGGAGGATTGCTTGAGCCTAGGAGTTTGAAACCAGCAAGACCCTTCTCAAACACAAACAAAAAGCATCCTGCTGCGGTGGCTTGCTCACCTGTCGCTGTGCACAGGCCCAGCCACAGAGGCCGGAGCACAAGGGCATGCTGGATGGACCAGGGCAGGCCAGTGCAGCAGCAAGGTCTGGCCCCTCCTCACTCAGTGTCAACCCCCAGGCCTGAGGTGTCCATGGGCTTCCAGGAGGCAGTAACTTCCCCATGCCAGTGCCCCACCAACGTGACATCACCTGAACATGTAGTGAAGAGAATTTGTGTTTTCAAAAGCCTTTTTCCCCTGGACCCTCTGTGAACTGAGTTGCCATGGAAATACACTGGAGGCAAACAGAGCTAATGAGCTTGGTTGGGACTTTTGCCTTCTTGAATGTTTTCCATTCTGAGCTTTAATTAGAGAGATTATTGAGGGTGGACTTTTTCTTTTATTGTGAATTAATTTTAAAGCCAGGTTCTGAGGTTAAATAATGATTTCATTTGTTAATCAACTGCACTTGGGTCTCCTTCCAAAAGGAAACAAGATGGGCCAGGGATTTAGCTCAGTGGTTCCGGCGCCTGCCTCGCAAGCACAAGGTCCCAAGTTTGATCCCCGGTACCAAAAAAAAAAAAAAAACCAAAAGGAAACAAGATGCCATTGTGGGAATGTTGGAAACTGGGTGTCTGAGACCGTGGGGGTTTTGCTGGCTGCAGTGATGTCAGGGGTCCGGACAGTCAGTTCTCACGGGTGCCATGGCTTTGATAGACAAGGATTCACCTTGGGAAGGGTCTTGACTGCGGTAGTGGTGGGGATGTACAGGAGGGAGCTCGGACTGGGTCCCTGGAATCCCACTGCTTCCGGAAGGAAGTTGCAAGCCCCTCTGGAGGCTTCAGCTTCCCTGCTGGAGCCCGTAAATGTCCGCACAGAGATAGTGGCCTGAGGAGGGGCTGCAGGGAGGCCTCAGGACAGGCTGTTGGGCTTGCAGCGGCTCGGGCTTGCGCACTGTCTCTGTTAGAGTAACTTCCGGTGTTTTCCTCAGGCTCTGTCCAGCTCGGGCCATCGGCATTTGGGGCCGAATCGTTCTTTGCTGTAGGGCCGGCCTGCGCATCGTAGGCTGTTTAGCCGAATCTCTGGCCTCTGCCCCCAGATGCAGGGGCACTGTCCTTCCTGTGACCCCCCCCCCCAATGCCGTGACCACCAAAAGTGTCTCTGGACATCGCCAAATGTCCTCTTGGGGACAAAATTACCTCCAATCAAGGACTACTGCATTAAAATATAGTATGTATTCATCATTGAAAATATACATAAATGTAGACAATAAGATGAAAAAGCAACCTGTAATTCCAGTAACCAGAGTTAACTACTGCCAGGCTTTAGGTGTTCTTCTTTCCCTACTTACTTTTCCTTGCATTTTTGCTTTTTCATAAAACTGAGGCTTCCCCGGGTGTGTGGTTTGCAGCCTGGCAGCCTGGGGCCTGGGGGCCGCAGACCTTACCGCTCTTCCCAGATCTCTCCTGCACCTCCTCTTGAGCTGCGTCGGCGACGGCGCTGTCCAGAACGGGTCACTGGAGGGCGAGGAGCATGGTGGGAGCTCAGCAGGACCTCATCTTCAACCGGTTGCTCTGCAGAGGTGGTCTTGCTCGGGTGGACTCCCAGCCTCCCGTGCATTGCTCATGAGTAGGTCCGCTCCAGGCCGAGACTGTCAGAAGCTCTCAGGAGGAGTGGGAGGGAGGTTCAGACTTGTGAGGAGCTGAGGAAAGTAGCTCCTTCCCAGGAAAAAGGGCCACATCTGCCCAGTTCTGCATCCCATCCCAGGGATCCCTGGTAGCAACTTCTGGGCATGGGGAATTTTTTCCTGAGGACTTGTAATGTCCTAGGGACTCACCCCTCTCTTCCAGGAATATCTGTCCAGGCCCTAGGAAGGCTCCGATCCCAACTTTCCCCATTACGTGGGTGGTAACGTGAGACACAGCAGCAGGTAAGTGGACCAGGGTGAGTGGGTGGGTGGGTGGATTCACGGAGCAGGAGGACAGGGACCGAGATTCCCAGTGATGATAGTGATGGAATCTGGCAGAGAGAGGCACTGCATCTACTGTACTCTACGGGGTCCAGTCCCGTGGTGAGAAAGGCAGCATTTTTACAGAGGAGTTCCATCTCACCAACTGCAAATAGGCTGAGACCCGCCCAAGGCCATACAGCCTCAGGAGCTCCTCCCTCTTCTCCAGGACCGCCATTCCCTAGAGCACCCCCAAGGTACACTGCTGTGTGCGGAAGGACGGTTTCCGGGCTGGGAAGGACAGGTGTACAGGATACTGGGAAGTACAAGGGCTTGGTGTGAAGGCCCTGAGCTGCCAGCCTTCCTCCTTCCCCTGAACATGGGCAGCACCCCTCTTTGTCCGCCACCTCCTTCCCCAGCCAGCCCTGGCCCCCAGAAGGGCTGAGGCTGAGCCCCCCTGGCTGCGCCGGTGCCACCTGCAGGGCCAGAGAGGAATGGAAGCAATTTGGGGGCCACCTTGACCCATCCTGGGAGCGGGAAACAGGAAATGTTCGTCTTCAAGGTTGTCTTGTCTTCTGTTTTGTTTCTTCGTAGTGGGATTGAGGCCGGGGCCCAACACTGAGATACATTCCTGTTCGTTTTTAAAAAGCTTGCGATGCAGGTTCTGGCTAAGTCACTAAATTGCCCTAGCTGGGCTAGAACTCGAGATCCTTCTGCTGCAGCCTCCCAGAGCACAAGATTACAGGTGAGTGCCCCGGGCCTGGCTGGGGGTCTTTAATTACATCGTATTTCGTTTATTTTCTCATGGGTGTTGGGGATTGAACCTAGGGCCTTGCACATGCTCGGCAAGCACTTTGCTGCTAAGCTACGTTCCCAGCTCTTTTTAAAAAAATGTACAAATGTGAAACAGGGTCCCCTGATTTACCCCAGTCTGACCTAGAACTTGCAGTCTTCCTGCCTCAGTGTCCAAAGTAGCTGAGATTCCAGGTGTGTCCCTCTTCACCCCGCTTATTTATCTTTTGAAAACCCTGCACAGGTCCAGGGGACACGATTCAAAATGCACGAACAGATGTATCCGAGAGTTAAGTTTCCTTCCCACACCTCTCCCTCCCCCAGCTGTTCTTGGAGGCAGCCACTGCTTTTCTTTCCTTTTCTATCTTTTCGGAGATGGTCAAAGCACGTACAAGCGTAGACTTTGTGTTTTCTGTCACAAGTGGCATGTTAAACATATTACCCTGCACTTCATTGTGTTTTGTTTTTATTTTTTTCCACTTAGCAACAAATGGTGTGGAGGCTGCAGGGGAAAAGAACCCTTGTACACTGTTGGTGGGAATGTAAACTGGCATAACCGCTCCGGAGATCAGTATAGGAGTTCCTTACAAAACTACAACAAAAAATTCCCTTTGACCTGGCTATTTCCCTTCTAGGAATCTTCCCCATAGAGTTAAAGTCAAATTTCAGTGATACATGGATACCATGTTTATAGCAGCATAATTCCTGATAGCTAAACCTTGGAAACAGCCCAAATGCACATTAACAGATGAATGGATGAAAGAAATGTATTTATACACAAAGGAGTACTGCTCAACTATCAAGAAGGATAAACTTGAGGCATCTGTAGGGAAATGGATGCACCTTGAGACCATAATCTTAAGTGAAATAAATCAGACTGTTTAAGTATCACATTGTTTCTCTTGTGTGAGAAACCCAAAGTATAGATAAAGAGCAAAATAAAGGTTAGAAAATAGGAAGTAGGGAGATATTTTTCAAATGGGAAGGGGAACAAGAGACAGAGGGAGAGGGAAGGAAGGAAGGGAAAAGGGATTATAAAAGAGAATTGAGGGCCGGGGATTTAGCTCAGTGGTTTCACTGCCTGCTGCGCAAGCGCAAGGACCCGAGTTCGATCCCCGGCACCAAAAAACAAACAAACAAATGAAAGAGAATTGAAGAAATGGAAATAGAACTTTTTCACAGGGGAAGGGGAAGGGGACAAAAAAGAATTAAGATGTGTCACGTACAGGGACAAACTCCCCATGATAAATATAATCCTTATGTACTGCAAACATGTACTAATAAAACAAAATTAAAACAATAAATCACTTTTTAATCAAAGTTAGCCTCTTCAGACTCAGCTTAAATAGAGGCAGACTGTGTGAATCTTTTAGCGGAAAAACAAAACAAAACAGAAATGTCTTGAGATCGCTCAACATCAGGATGTGGATGGCACTTCTGCTTTCATAGTGGCAGAATATTCCATCGTGTGTGCGGACAGTGTTTACATTAATCAGCCCTCTTCTGACAGCCATTTGGGATGCTTCTGACATCTGTGGAGACCACAGTGCTGCAGCGATGGTCTTGTCCGTTTGTCCTTCGTACTCACGCCGGCCCCTCTGCAGCTGGTTCCTTGGCGTGGAAGTGCGGGGCCCAGCAGATGCGCTTGGATCTGTGGTGCGGATACCCGAGGCTCCCTGGCTCACCAGGGCCTCCTCCAATGGATGCAGTGCCAAGGACGGGTACAGAGGAGGCCGGAGGGCTGCTGGGGTTGGCAACTGACTTGGGCTCTGAGCGGGACTGAGCAATGGGGCACTCAGCCGTGTCCCGCAGAAACCCGTTGGTACCAGGGCCTCTGCCCAGATGTGCCTGGGAGCAGTGGGCAGGGGCCTTGACACTGTCTGGGTAGATGCCGAGCCCTGGCCCAGGGCCCTGGCTGCCCATCGAGCCGGCCTCAGCACAGGGCAGGCCTGGACTGCGAGGAGCTAGGGGCTGGAGGGATGCCGGGCTCTCTCTCAAATTTCCTGTATAACCAGAGTGGAGGGAAGCCCATGGCGCCCGCTGGAGGAGGACAGGGGCACGGGGACAGAGCATCCTTGGTTGGGGGGCTGAGAGGGAGACACGGGTGGCCCACACCAGCCTCCCCTCATCTGTGGATTCGGCAGCGCTCGGAGCCCTGACAAAAGTGCCTGGATGACCCAGACTCACACAGCTGCAGCCACAGAGGGGCTCGAGCCATGGGGGCCTGGCTGGGGAAGAGGCAAGGTTCTGGAGGCCTTGTGCTTGGCCTGGGTGGGGGGGGTGTGTGTGGCTTGGGACCTGGGGCCCAGACCCCTCTGAGGAGCACCATGGCGGGGACTGTGGCCCAGCAAGACCCCCTCCTGCCCCCTGCAGTGGCAGTTTGACCTGGGGCGTGGGGGAGTGCCGCGTGGAAGGAAGCCCTGGGAAGCCCTGGGGTCGGGCAGAGTCAGGGCCAGGCTGGCTCCCCTTGGGAGGAAGTGGGGCCTTGGCCGCTGGGCAAGGTCAGACTCACACTGGTGCCCTGCGCTTTGAGCTCTAGAGACTCCAAGGCCTAGGGCAGGAGGCAGGCAAGAGCCAGCCTGGCTCCCTCCCACAACTTCTGGGTGGCTCTGGGCTTGTCCACTGGCTCCTCAGGGACACTCGGTCCATGGTGTTGTTCTCTTTGCTGTCTGGTTAGGCGGCCACCAGTCACTGGTGCTACTGAGCAGTTGGCACAGGGGTCACCTGGCTGATGAGCTGCATCTGAAGTACAGTGTTGTTTGAATTCATTTAAATGTAAACAGCCACATTGGCTGGGGCTGCTGAGTTGGACAGTGCCGTTTTAGATTCTTGGGCCTCATGAGCCTCTGCCAGCTCTCTAGGTCCCCCGGGAGGAGGAGAAGCCAGTGTGGGGTCGTGTATAGAAGCAGGCCCTCCAGGGATTCCAGCAAGCTCCAGGTTTGAGATAAACTTCACTGGAGAAAGGTTAGATTGTATCTGGAGGGTTGGGTGTAGCTCAGAGTACAGCACTTGTCTGGTATGCACGAGGCCTTGAGTTCATCCCCAGATTTGGAAATACAGCCCACTCTGCCTCCTTCGTTGATATTTGAGATGAACATTAGCATGTTAAATAAAGGCCCTGAGCTATTCGGCCTGAAATATTTAGTTTGAGTTCTCCACATGTATTTGACTGTGGCACACTCCTGGGGCTCCGTGGGGCTGCCTCAGAAAGTGCTGGCACCAGGGGAAGCAGTGCCCTGACCTGGGATTCTCCCGCTTCCTGCAGCGCCTGTAGGAAGCCCAGAGCTGGTGGTAAATGGAAGATATTTCCTTGGGTTTCCCCGGCCCACCCTGGCCATGCCCTTGGGAGCTCCATCCCTGTGCCCTCTGCCCCAGACATGGTGCTGGGAGCCCAGCGCAGCCCCTCCTGGCTGTCAGCTGTCCATCATGATACAAAGGCCATGGGACATGTGTCTCTCCTTGGGAACATAGGGCAGCTGTTCCGTCTCCTGTCTTTTCAGACCGAACGGTTTGGAAGGAGAAGCGCTGTCACTGTTGCAGTGTCTAAGCTGGACGCTAACAAGAAGAAGAGACCAGGCATCCATGTCCAGGACCGCTCTGTCCACCCCGGTGGGCTGTGGCCAAGACCTGGCTGGGACTTCAGTGACCTGTCCCTTGTAGGAAATTTGCAAGACCTTCCACTGCAAATGTTTCATGCCTGCTGGATGAGGTGGTGCAGTAAGCCCAGCAGCGGATGGCTGCTGCTCACCCACCCATGGCCCCAAGGAGCTGGGACTGCGCAGCTCTGGCCTCTGGCTCTCGTTTGGGGGTGTTGGTGTTGCGGGCTGCAGGCCGGGACTCCCAGCTTGGGGAGGTGCAGGGGTGCCCCACAGCGCTTCCCAGAAAGGCAGTGGCTGGCAGGGCAGAGGCTACCCTGGCCACTTCTACCCCCCTCTGGAAGGTGTAGGCTCTTCAGCTTCCGGGAGGAAGGCTCCGTCCTGGGGGGAGCGTCCACTTGCCAGAATCCTGTGTGTGTCAGTGCAGCCCCACCTGCACTCTCCTGCGCCTGAACCCGAGCTCAGACAGAAAAGCCAGCTGCTCCCTCTGCAGACTCCAGCGCCTGACAGCACAGCAGGTCTGAAGTTGTCTCTGGAAGCCTGGGCAGACCCCGTGGAAGGACATTGCCGGTCAGCCGGGGAATTACAGGTTTGCAGGGCTTAGCCCAGACAGGACTCTCGGCCTGGCCTGTTTCTTGTGGACACACTGTCCACAGGCAGGGCTGCCGTGGCCCACAGCTTAGGGGCACTGTTCCTCTGGAACAGTGTGGGCCAGGCTTGGGGACACATGCACACACACTCACATGCACAGGGCTCAGGCTGGCCGCTGTCCACGCCTTCCTCACCCGACCTCATTGTCCCAGTACACAAGCACCCAGCTACATTGAAAAAGCTGGGCAGAGCCAGACATGGGGATGCATACTTATAATCCCAGCTACTGGAAAGGCAGAAGCAGGTGGATCTCGAGTCCAAACCCAGCCTTGCCAACTTAGGGAGAATGTCTCAATAAAAAATAACAACGGCTGAGGATGTAGCTTAGTGGTAGTGGTAAGTGACCCTGGATTCAATCCCCAGTACCACACACACACACGTGCAGTTAGATGAACCATCCTGGGAGGCCACAGGCTTCCCCAGGGCATTGGCAGTGGACTCCCATTGCACCCAACCTTTCAGGACCACCTCTGGCTCGATTCAGTGAGATGCACCTGCCCCCAGGTGACTCACGAGCACACCAGGCTCGCCACGAGAGGGGAAGCTGCCATTCCCAATGCAGCAGGTTGCCAGTACATTTATGACTTGGGATCACGAATCCTTAAATCACCTGCATGCCCTTGTAAGCATGATCATAGATCAGCTTGGAAGAGGCCTTTGCTGCAGGTGTCTTTGGCAAACCCTGGTCAAAGCTAGGAACCACGAGACCAAGGAACTCTAGCAGCTGCACTGGTCCCCAGGAAGCAACGAGATGCTCTGGACAAGGAAGATGTGAGTGCAAATCGATGATAATCTAAGCCTTGGTGGGGATTTACTGAACCGTAGGTTGCTGCTGCCAGTACAGTAGCTTTGTACCTCTGGGTAGGGACTGCAAGGGACCCTCGGGACCTGCCATGAGCAATTCCAGACTCGTGTCCGAGGTCATCCAGGGAGACCCAGACGTCTGCTAGGTGAGGAGAAAGCCTCGGGGTGGGGACACTTCTCCAGGGCCAAGCGGCACAGGAAGGCACAGCTGAGACCCAGCCTCAGTTCCAGCCTGGCCGGAGCCCGGGGCCCACCACACCCTCACCCTCCAAAACGGGAGAAGCCCGAGACTGTGAATCAGAGCCCCCCGGGGAGTTTTGCTGATACATTTTTGTTTGCAAGTGAGAGGTTCTGCCTCTATTAAAGTCTTTAGGAAATTATAGTGATTTTGACTTTTTCAGACATGTTTGAATTACTCACAGTCTGGCATTCCCAGGCAGGGGGTGGGACCCAGGAGGCTGCAGGCGTCAGGGGCCCCCAGACCGGACCGACCGAGCTAGAGGTAGATTCTTTCAGATTCCAAGCCCTGAGTCACCCGCTGGGAGACTGGGCTGGTATGTGGATTAGGTAAAGCTGGACCTGCGAGCGAGGGTAGCTGGGAGACACAGTGAAGTGATGAACGAGACACCTGATCTGGCAGGATCTCACGAGGGCCAGTTCAGAACCGGGCGGACGTGAGCCTCGGGCTTACTGATCAGGAACTGGACTGGCAGGGTTCAAATCTAGTTCCAAGGCTGGCTTGGAGCTACAGAACTTGCCCACCCTGAGGCCCTGTTTCCCTCTGGGGAAAGTGCAGAGCAGGACAGCGCAGGCCCAGGGGAGGATGGTGCCTGGCATAACCAGTGCCTATGGGAGGGCGAGGACTAAAGAAAAGACCATAGAGACTTGTGTAGTTTCGAAGTATACGGGAGCCAGGAGGTCAGTGCCTCAGAGCAGGCAAAGACAAGGGAGCACTCCCAGCTCACCACTATTTATTGGGTTCATGGGGAGTATCAGATAACTCAGAGGGCAGCGATGATCCTAAATTGACAAGGATCTTATAATCGGAGGAAGTATCAGATGACTCAGAGGGTGGTGGTTATCCTATGACGATGAGGATCTTATGCTGATGAGGATCTTATGCTGATGAGGATCTTAGGTCAATGAGGAATTTAAACTGATTAAAATGGTGAGACCAGCAAAATATTCTCATCTTTTTTTTTTTCTGGCACTGGGAATTGAACTGAGGGCCTTGCACTTGCCAGGCAGGCCCTGCACCGCTGAGCTACATCCCCAGCCCGAGCAAAACATTCTTACAATATTAGGTAAGGGCCGGGGATATATCTCAGAGGTTCTACTGCCTGCCTCGCCAGCACAAGGACCCGAGTTTGATTCCCCGGTACCAAACAAACAAACAATAGGTGGGATTGGTTAAGCTGATAAGGAATTTGTCCTTTCTTTTTCTGTATTACTACTCCTTTCTTAAAGATGCAGGATGTCTTCAGCTGATGTGATCTTGCCCTTGAGGATCACAGCATCACGGGATCATGAAGGCCTCAGCAGCCCTAATCAAAATTTAATTGTGAAATGATTTTTCCCCAGAACTATGCAGAATGGCTCCCGACAGGTGCCCATAGGGACCCCTTTCTCACGATGCCCTTTCTTTCTCTGGGACCTGTGTTTCCAGCAGGGCAGCTGAGCTCACATATCTGCAGAGCTGGTGGAAGAGTTTCCATAGCTCTGTTTCTGCCAAACGTGGTGGAAGTTTATGCTTTCCCACTCCCACCAACCAACATCCTCCCGGGGCCCAGCACGCCAGGCTGGGTGAGGAACCTGCCTGATCTCACCAAGTCAGGAATAGTCGTCCAGATCTGTGATCCCAGCTCTTTGGGAGGCTGAGGCCGGAGGATTGAAAGTCCAAGGGTGGCTTGAGCAACTCAGTGAGGCCCTACCTCAAAATAAAAAAGGGCCAGGTATACAGTATAATGACATTCATCATTGGAAATTTGCACCTTTACATAATCTCTCTTGGTTCTTATTTTTCACCCTTGCCCAGCCCTCCCTTCAACCCCTCCAGTCCTCCCTATTTACAAAGATTTTGTGCCTATTTTTCCATTTTCTCATATTAATCCCATTCCCTTCTATCCTTTCCCCTAGCCCTCCCACTTCCTTCCCCTTTGCCCCTTTTCTTCCTATTTCACATTACCTATTATACATTTAGTCCTTATTTACACTTTCAGTTTCTCACACCAGAGAAACTATTCGGTATTTACACATCTGTGTCCTATTTATTTCACTTAAGAGTATCGCCTTGTATTGTATACCTAAAATGTACCAATGATTAGAATGAATAATCGATAATGCAAAATAGGAAGAAAAGGTCCAAAGGGGTAGGGGTAGTGGGAGGGGCAGGGGAAAGGAAAGAAGGGAAAGGAAAAATGATGAGAAATGGAAAAAATGGAAATAAAGTCTTTGTAAATAGGGAAGGGTGGAGGGGGTGAAGGGAGGGCTAGGAATGGGGAAAAAATAAGAACCAAGATGCATTATGTAAAGGAACAATTCCCAATGAGAAATGTAATTGTGTTGTATACCTACAATGTACCAATAAAAAATAAAAAACTAAAAAAAGAAAAAGAAAAAAAAAGTGCCAGGGATGTAGCTCAATGGTAGAGCACTTGCCAAGCGTGCTGGAGACTCTGGGTTCTGTCCCCAGGAAGGAAAAAAAAATCATGAGTTCTATGAATTTTTGAGTGTCCACTCTTAAATTAGTCCTTCCACGGTTTCTTCACAGCCCATTACTGTACTTGAGCAATTATTTAATTCTGTCTTATTTGACAGCACTAATATTTCTCTCCAGACTCTAGAGACAGTTAAGAGTCTTGAAGGCTTGTGTGAGGTTCGGTGGTCCATTCTCCCCCGGCAGCTTCTCTGCCTGGGACTTTCTACCTACCAGGGGCCGGGACAGCTGCCTGCGGATGGAACTGAGCATGCTCAGGAGGCCCAGGGTTCCCACCACCCTGTGGAGCGTCGCAGCCCTGGAGAGGTGGCCCCCAGTGCATGAGGAAGGCTTCACACTGTTATTGTAAGTGAGTCTTCTCCGTGGGTTGCATGGAGATCAAAGCCTGAAGGAAGTAGAAGGTTGCTCTCTGACAAAAACATCATATTTTTAGAAGCCCTCAGTGGTTTAGGATGTTTGCCCCGATGCTGCCCGTCAGTGGAGGGGCTGGGGTGGGGGTGGAAGCCGAGACTGTGACCTGCAGCTCAGGGCTGGTGGGAGTGGGTTTGCTGGCCTGGGCCCACGTTTGGAGGCTGGGGGGGGGGGAGCAGCCTGCCACCCCTTATCTGTCCTGAGGATTGGGGTGCCCAGGGTGCAACTGCAGGCTGAGGGGCAGGGGGCTCTGGGCCTCTGGCTCTGTGTCCTATGTTCAGAGATGGGAAACTGAGGCCCAGAGAGGTGCAGAGGCTTAACTGCTCTCCACTCTCCACCCCTGCGTCTCACACACAGCCTCCCCAGCTGGCGCGGGACTCGGGCTCACACACATGAAACCGTTGGAGAACAATGCACGCATTCTGTAATCAGGGCTAATTGGTGTGGTTCAGAAGAGGTGGAACGCCCGGCGTTCAGGCTAGGAGGACAGCAGCGGGGCTCTGAATCAGCGGCCCAGGAGTATCCCAAGGAGACTTAGAATAGCGCCTGGGGTCCTGGAAGGGGAAACCTCTTGGGGGGGGGCAGTCAGGCAGATCTAGAAGGTGGACCCGGCTTGGCCTGGTGGGGGACTGAGGTGAGGAGGGCTGTGTAGCCGCCGGGGGCAGGAGCCTTCAGAAGCATCTCGCTGATCGTGAGCAAGCCCAGAAGAGCTGACCTGCTGCTTCCACTGCGGGAGAGAGCAGAGCGGGCCATGTGGGGGTGCCTGCCCTCCCCAGCTCCCCTAGTGCCCCTACCTTATAATCAGGATGGCCCCGCCTTCATGTTTATGCCAAAATCCCAAGCAGCCAGGCTGGGATGGCGAGCCATAATTTATATCTTTTTTCATATGGGTTTAGGCTCCAGAGGCCCAGGCTCCTTCAAATGGGAACCACATTGCAGGAGGGCAAACCGAGAGGGTGGGAATGTTGAGAAGCTCAGTCCTGGAAAACCACTTGTTTCTCGTTTGGGATGCGCCTCAGCTGTGGCTCGGTTCCAGGGCCCAGCTGGGTTTTGGGGGAGGCAGTGTGGCCGTGGGTTACTGCCCCTCAGGTGTCTGCCAGGCCAGGGAGCCGCTCGCCGCCTCCAGTGCGCCACGTGCAGTGCTCTGCCCCTGTCCTCGCCGTGTGTAGAAAACCAAGTGAGGCAAAGCCCGACCCTGTGGGAGGCCTGGGGCCTGCTGGTGCGGGCAGCAAGGATCCTGCCTCCCACCAGTGCCTCTTGCAGATGAGCTGCCAACGTGTAGGCAAGGGAGCCGGCGGCACTGAAAATGAATGAAGTGAATTTAAAAGCAAGCAAGAGTATTGCACGGTGTTAGGTGAGGTTATCAGGGAGAGAGGTGGTGTGATACCCGGAAGTCCAGGACGGGGGTAACCGGAGTGCGGAGGGCAGGGCCTGGGTGTTTGCAGCGAGGCCGTGCTCTACTCGTTGACCCTGGAGGTAGCTACACCGATGTTCACACTGTAATAATCCATTAGCTGTGCGTTTGTGCTTTGTGTTCTTCTGAACATGCTACTTTCCACAACAAAATAAGGGGTGGGGATGTAGCTCAGAGATAGAGTGCTTGCCAAACATGCATGGGGCCCTGGGTTCAATTCCCAATTCCACCCCACACAGCAAAAATAAGGATAAGAAAACAAAAAAGAGGCGTTGAATGCCGAGCCTGGTGTCCACTCCCCTCCTAGCTCACCTCTTTATCTCTTCTAGTTTTGCCCCTTGTTGCTGTAGGACCCGCTCTCCACCCTCCCCTGGCTTGGGCTCAGTCTCCTCCGAAAGGCCTAGGCCTGTGCTGTGTCTGGAATGTGTCCCCCAAAGTTCCTCGGTTGGCAGCCGCCCTTCAGCAGTCCTGGCCCTCCCCATTCAGAACCTGGCCTGGGACCTGCCGTGGGTTCCCTGAGGCCTGGTCCCCTTGCCACTCTTGTCCTCGATGCATCAGGGGCTGTCGAGCTGCTTGGCCTGGGGTCCCACAGGCCCGAGGACCTCTGTGTACAGCCTTGGAGCAGCTCTGGCAGGCAGCCGGTCTCCCTCGGCAACATCCAGGGGAGGTCGGGGCGGGGGGGGGGGGCTTGGCTACAAAGAAAGGGCAGATCTCTAGGATGTGAACTTTTCTTGAAAAAAAAATCTCTGATCTTCAAAGTTCTGTTTGCTCTTTTTATTTGCTTCAAGAACTATTGACACCTGAAGACGGGCATTGCCTTTTAATGGGTGCAAGGAATCCCACAGCGTCAAGGTTGAAGAAACCATATGAGAGTGAAGGGGGGCCTGGCTTTCCTCACACCCCTCATTTTTCTGGGGCATTTGAGTCTCCCCAGGCGCTCGGGGCCTGTGGCTCTGCTCGGGTTGACTGTTCAGGTGAGAAACTTTCCATTGTTGCCTTATCTCGTGGCAATCCGCTCGCCTGCTTGCAGCAACCGCAGGTGCACACATCAGATCTGAGGCCCTCATCTGTCCCACTCTGTACCAGGCAGGGCCAGGAACGATAACCCCAGCATGAAACGGCGCCCACAACCGCAAGGCCCGGTGTGCACCCTCTGAGACCATCGGTAAAGACAATTACCGGCAATTTCCATAGCAGGGTTTGTTTTTGTTCAAAGGCTGTGGAGGCATTCTCAGTAGCAAGCTTAAAATATAGCATTCCCACCGCATGCCGCCTTCATCGGCCTGTGATAAAAGCTGTGGTTCCTTTGTCCTGGCTCTTCCTTTCAACAGTCAAACCTTCAAGTCTGATACTGAAACTACTTTTTTCTGAAAGTGTACTTTGATAGCACAGATAACACTTCCTGATAAGGAACCAACCTGTCTTCAAAACCACTCACTGTACCTGGTGCACACCACTCGGGTGCACGTCACAAGGGAAAATCGGGCGCCCGAATTTATGAGAAGTGGGATAGGAATGTGCTGAGTCTGTGAGATTCTCCTCTCTGCTACCTGCAGACTGCAAAAAAAGAAAAAAACAGACACACCAAAAACAGCATCAGGCATTGATCAGAAGGGGGTTTAGGGAGAGGAAGAAGT